CAGCCTGGACTCCACCGATGGTCAGAGTGAAGTCAGTACTAGATCCACTGCCACTGAATCGAGAAGGAGTCCCAGAGTTACGGGTACTTGCATAATAGATCAAGAGTTTAGGAGCTTCTCCTGGTTTCTGTTGGTACCAGGCCATGCGAGGATAAGAAGTCCCAGCATCATATACTGGGCTGCCAGTTTTACAGTTTATAGTGACTGTCTGTCCTGAGGAAGCTGATATCAGCTCTGGAGTCTGAGTCACAGCCACTTGTCCCTTGGATTCTGAAAAGAAATACAAAATAAAAATTTATTTAAAGTTGAATTAACATACAATATTAAGTGACACCAAGATGTTGCTGTCTAATGTTTCACAACTCATCAAGCAATTTTTTGCAAAAAAGACAAGCTTGTTCTGTTTTACCGTGAGTGAGCACGAAGAGCAAGATGCTGAGGCTGATCAAAGTCATGTTTGTTTGGAGTCTGTTGTGATGAAGGGCAGCTGTCAGTCATGAAGTGTTAAACCTCCTGGAATATAAACCCTCCCAGAGCACTGAGGCATGAGCTGAAAATGCAAAGTATCTTCTGACTGACATCATAACTGCAGAGGAAACATGAAACTTTTGCTCTTCAAAATGATGAAAAAATCTTCTGCATACCCTAAAAAAGGCAATTTTTTGTGGTCTTTAAATTCCTTTTTTAGAGTAACATGTTTCTACAGCCATCTGTTCAGTGATGTTTTATATTGATTTATTCAATCATAGATACCAGGCAAACCAAACCAGCAAAACAAATGCATTAAATCTGAGGTTGTAACACTTTACTTGAGGGAGCACAAATACTTAGTAGTAACTCAGTTACTACTGAAGTACAGATCATGAAGAAATATAATAGGTACTTGAGATAAAATATCCGTAATGATTCCTTAATGATGAATGAACATAAGATTGTTTGTAAGTAAGACTTAATTTGTGGTTAATTAGTACATAAGTAATAGCATAATACTATATTATTTGTGCCCCTTCGAGTAAAGTGTTACCAATGATGGTTCTCTGGCTCTGTGATTAAATGTCCGTCTCTGTGCTTTAAAATCATAATATTATTTCATATTATAGACGGGGCTCCAGTTGTCATGGGATGGATGCCACCCCCACATGGAAAAAAATGACCAAAAGCATCCTCTTTGAAAATATGCCATCCCTGTCACCACTCTGAATTGTTCTGTTTAATTTCACTCAGGTAAAGGTAAATCTACTGAGTATATTAGGGGGGACTCTGGTCTGAAACACAACCTAATCAAGACAACTCAGTAATCTAGAGCACTGCTTGTTTATGACAGGATAAGAGATTGATCAGATGGATGGGGGGGCAGGTTTGGGTACAAGGTGTTTGCCACCGTGTGTCCCTCCAGTCCAGGATGCTCTTCATGTGGACCCCCATGTATTTAAAGCACTAATGTTTGTGAGGACATGTATGTTCAAAGTTACAGAAATCTATAATTCTGGCAAAAAATATGATTACAGATGAAACTTCAGGTCTATTTTCATTGTTTTCTTTATTCAGTATCATTTAGTAATTATCTTTAGGGTGATTAACTGCATCAGATTGGGTCAATCGGCTAATTAAACTTCACTCTATGGGCCTGATGGCCCAGGATGGTAATTTGCATAGAGGAGACACTTTGCATAAGCAGCATATGTTTCAGTGCCTTGATGTTGCTTATAATCCTGTTCATAACACTTCATGACTGACAGCTGTCTGTACTTCACAGCGACAGACACCAACACAGCTATGGCGTCTATCAGCATCTTCATTGTGGTCTTTGCCTTTTTCTCTCAAGGTAATATTCTGTACTTTTTATTGGCAAATACACTACAGTTCCAGTTACTCCTTTAGAGATTTAATAATTGCATGTACAATGTAACTAGTAAACTCACTGTTTTCTGGACAAATACAAGTATTCATTCATTTATTGTTGATAATTTAAGTTGATCTACTACATAGGGAGTCATTAGTGGCCACATTAGTATTAGTATTTCAACTGCTGTAATTTGTTTTTACTAATATGTTTACATTTTAATCTTATTTTCAGAATCCAGTGGTCAGATCACTGTGACTCAGACTCCTGCAGTAATGGTTGTTCCCAATGGACAGACTGTCACTCTGAGGTGTAAAGTCAGTCCGGCTGTGCATAACAATAATTTTTTAACCTGGTATCTACAGAAACCTGGAGAAGCTCCTAAACTCCTAATATATCTTGCAAATAGCCGTTACTCTTGGACTCCGTCTCGATTTAGTGGCAGCGGATCTAGTACTGACTTCACTCTGACCATCAATGGAGTCCAGGCTGAAGATGCAGGAGATTATTACTGTCAGAGTTTCCATAGTGGTGTTGTGTTCACACAGTGATACAGAGTCGTACAAAAACCTCCCTCAGTCAGACTGCACAGTGACTGCACTGCTGCAGCTGGGACTCACTGCAGGTACTGAGGGGGAACCAGCCTCCAGGGGGGAGTCCAGACTTATTTGTTTCAGAAAGAATGTCTTTATTTTAAAATAAAATAAAATAAATACAGAGTCCTTGGTGGGTGCTGTTTGAGGCGGTTACAATGGCTCATAGAGGGCGCATGGCCGCAAATGTCCCTCCCTGACTTTGACCCCGTGGGGACAGTTAAACTAAAACCTCGCAGAGGAGATCAAACTGGTGTAAAGACTGAATACATACGAATATCATCTATTTTATTGTGAATTGTGTATTGAGACAGTGTGTGCAGTGTATGCAAAGTCATTTTCCCAGTCCTGATTCTTGCATTAAATAAATTTATTTCATCGTAAAACAAATGTGAAACAGTAATCGTAGTAGGATAAGGCTGGGTTACACCAACATGGGTTAAATAAATCCTAGTTTAGACTTAATCTATGGTTAGTAAGTCTAGGTTTAATTAATCAGAGACATGCTGCACGTCTTAATTTTAACCCTGGATTAGTTAAACTAGTTTGAACCATGATTAAAAAAGGATTAATTTAGTTTCAGTGTCCGTCATGAAGGATTCCTATGAAACGTAAACAAATTCACAATGCATCCTAGGCTAAATATCGGCCTAAATAAAATTTATGCAAATCTCATGAACTTTTAAAAAATAAAAAACACTAATTTTACCATACTTTTGCTTTGTTATACTGATTTACTTTTCAAATACAACTTGGATATTAGTTGAGCAGCAGTCCTTTCAATTATGGAAAACTTCTCCATTCTCACCACCTGGGTTAGTAATCAAAATAAGTGTGGGGGTTTCAGAAAGTTTGTAGGTTAAACTTCATGCATAATTTCTTACAAAACTACACCGCCAGGCTAAAACAGTGAAAGATAAAAAATGTAATTTTGTTAGTTATGTTTTAGTTATTGGGGATCAATCATGATCAGGACGGGACACAGTCTGTTATTTATATTTTACTTATACTGTATGACCCACACCATGTTCATGATTCTTATTAAATCTGGCCAGCAGTTCAGTCTTTCATTTTCCACAGAATAAAAAACAATGTAATATTATCCCACTAATAAGCGCTGCCACCTGTGATGTTAGACGAAAGTATATCACCAAACTCCTGCAACACCTGAATTTTGCTTCAGTAACTGCAAAGTATCTTTCTACTTGGCCTGCTGGTATCTGTCAGCTGCTTCTGGAGTCCCACAAGCTAACCAAGCCTGGAAGGCCTCCATCTTCAGCCTGACAGCTCTGTGTAACGCAAGGTGTCCACCACCGGATTTGGGGATTGCCGCCACAACCGGCACTGACAAACTCATGGCCATAGCTCTGAAATGCCACCTCAGCAATGGAGTCCTGGAAATGGCCCATTCAGGCTCAATGTCTCCTGACTCCATCGGGATGCAAGAGACGTTCTGCCTTGAGTTAAAGATCCCTCAGACAGAAGCCTCCACCAGACACTCCCAGCACAACCTCACTACATGTTTGGATCTAGTAGGTCAATCTGGCATCTTCTCCCGCCATTGGATCCAACTCACCACCAGGTGATGATCAGCTGACAGCTCAGCTACGATACAATTACAAAATCGATCATCGAACTGTGGCCTGAGGGTGGCAGACACAAATCAAACTATGGGGGGATCAAACTATGAAATAAAATTTTAACGTGGGTGTCCAACTTTGGTGTTTATCACAGTAAAGTGTTTATTGCAGGTTTATGCACAAGTATGGACCTAGTTTTTCTTGAATCATTTCAGTAGGACCTAATTGCAACACTGTTTCATATTTTCAGTAGTACTGTCCCAAGCCCCACCACCACTCTCAATATACGCTAAGTTGATGGATGAGTATTTTTCATGCTCATAGATTAAAAACACTTTTTCAAAATGTGTAGATGTTTTCTGTAGTTTTCTATTACATTCAGTTGATTGAGAATGATGAGACGTATAAAAATATAATTGCAGATGTTTGGTTTTCTTGTCTCGGGACACACAGCTCACATTGTTTATCAGCTGATTTTGTTTTGCACTTTTTATTTATTTACTGGATTCTGTTCTTATTTGTGAGTCTTGTACTGTCTAAGCCTGCTGTGCCTTTCCCAGTCAGACCTGTTACTTCACTGGACATTCACACTAATTTCAGTGTTTTCCGCCACACCTACTTTGGAAAACGGTCACTGCTGAATGAATAAATGTAAAATATATACACACACAGTACTTATTCATTTAAATTTATAGATTGTGTAGCACTATAGATTGTGTAAGTAATGTAAATAGTGTAAATAACTGTGTTTTTATCATGTACTGTGTTGTAATTGTGTCGTAAGTAATGTCACGTGTAGTGTTAATGTTAATGGTTGTGAATAGTATTGTGTGAGCGCCCACTGTGTGCAGTATGAGTATTCAGGATGGTCAGCATGGTCAGCAGTATGAGTGTGTTGTGAGTATGACTGACATATGTGATTATAGTCTGGCTGTGTGATTATTCTGTGACCATGTCTGACTCCCGCTCCACGCTGGGTCAGAGTTGGGGATGGAAACAGAGGAGCTCAGCAGGAGGGTGGAAGAGCTCCTGGCAATCCAGCACTGATGGAGCGATGCGAGGGTGAGGAGATCTCCGGGAACTGAGAGGTACTGTATGCCTTCCTGGACCGACCCGGCGGCGCTGGCGCCCCCTGCCTGCCTGAGTGGCAGTGCAGCGACTGGGAGCAGCACGACATGGGGATGCAGCCGATGGCAGCACAGACCCCCTTAAGCTGCCCCGAGTGACGGGAAAGGGTCCCTGTAGCCCCACCTGGTCCAGGTCTGGCTGGTGGCTTCATTCATCCCCCCAATATTAAGTTGTGCCCCCCCCCATACCAAACTCTCTCCTATGCTGCAGGCCACATGGTTCACTGTTTGGATGAGCAGGCTGTTTGCATAGCAAGCAGGCTACCTAAGTGGACACTAATTGTTCCACCAAGATAGAATATTGTTAAATAGAATAGAATAAACAAATAAAACAAACAATATATGAAACATCTGATAGGCATATTGCTGGGTGTTATGTGTCACACAGTTATAAGTAAAATTGGTGAGCTGTGTTTTCCCAACAAATCACACCTGAAACCTGTCTTTAGACAAAGGGACTGTAGCAGAGCATTACCATCCGTGTGCATACAGAGAGTCTGCTGTAGTCACTCAAGGGATCAAGGCAAGACGTATTGCTTTCCCATGTAACTTCCATCTATGGCCAATAGAGGGACTCATTGCCGTCATGAATGTTGCACTGAGATCAGGAGGAACATTATTTCATTTCCCTGTGTGCTGTAGGCCTGCATGGCTGAGATGACAATAAAGCTTTACTGGACTGGACATGATGTAACAAATAGATGAAGAAAAAACGATTTACTCTACATGTCATGACTAAGAATTTTTTAGAAATGAAGACAACTTTTGTTCGTAAATGGGCGAACCCCCCCCCCCATGGGGCAGCACAACCAAACAGGGTCCCAGGGCTGCAAGACCTGTACCTGGCAGTGGATTTTATATGGCCGTTTTTGTCTGGCCGTGGCCACGTCCTGATGTTACCTGTCCAGCTCATAGTCGGTCCGCAAATGCTCCCACAGCTGGAGTAGGTGGTCCAATCCTGGAGTCCAGCTTCGATTCAGGGGGCCAACCAAACACCAGCTCCACAGGGGTCCTCAGCCCACGGCCCAACATGCGGGGGGTGGGGGTGCAGCAGGTGCTGCCTGAGGATGGAGGGAGGTGGCCGCTGGCATCCCTCACCAAATGCCTGCGCCTCAGAGTTTCTCCTCTGGTCACCGTGCAGCTGCTCTGGGGCCCCAAAGCGGCAGGAAAACTTCTCGCGGAGCCTCACTGTACTGGGGGCGCTCTGGTCGGGAGCTGCGTATGCCTGGGGCCAGTGTGTGACGTAATCTATGGCCACTGGTATGTAGCAGTTCCCAGCCTCGATGCGAAACTGGGGCCGAGGATGTCCACCCCCACACTCGGCATGGCTAGGACCCCTCCGAGCCGCGCACACGTCACACTGGGGGCCAAACAGCTTAGCGTCCTGCCGACAGCCAGACCAGTACGACTCCATGCACCAGGCTCAGCACAACGGGGCACAGGCTCAGGGCACCAGAACCTCCAGCAGCTCCCCTGCACCATCCAGTGATCGCCAAGGCCTGTACAGCAGAGCCTCGTGCTCCTTCGGGGGCCCACTGGGGGTGGTAGGCCTTGGTCTGGGGGCTGGAGGCTGAGATCACCACCCAGCTCCCTGCGCTGCTGCTGTTCTCCACAGTTCAGACTGGATTACTATGTTATTAACAAGTAATTGTGTCTGTATCACTGGCCAGGAGCTTCCCTTGGGAGCTGCAGGCTGCCCGACGGTATCCCCAGTGCTGCAGTATTATATCAGAGTATTAATAGTTTTGCATTAGATTATTATTCCTTTCAATATATTAAAATACGGGATAAAACCAGAGTACCGGAAACAGTATTATCCTGAACATAGCCTGCCACTAGCTTAGGTATTTTCGACTTGAGATCAGAGATTAAGACATGAAATATGACGGGTTAAGAGACTGGACAGAAGTGGGAGGGGGGTGGAGGGGTGGGACAGCCGAAGGGATCCCCAGGGTGCTAATGGGGCCTCTGCTGGAGAGAGAAAGCAAAGCCAGCCATTCCAATCTGAGGCTGACGGCCTGAAACGGGCCGCAGCAGGGAAGGGTATATTAGCCATCGGCTGTGGGCAGCTGGGTGGGTATATTAGCCATCGGCTGTGGGCAGCTGGGTGGGT